CATCTATCATCACTTCCAGCGACTCTTGAGCGCCATTCGGATTTTGAAATTGAACTCAAAAAATTGGAAAATCTCCTAATTTTAAAAAGTCCTGAGCGGCACTGAGCGGAATTTGCAGACTACTCCAAGAATTAGCCAATCAGCCGTTTCCGACACCATCGTTTATTACAAAAACGCTTAAAATTCTATATAAGGCTTATGCGGTACATGTTAGAAAGCTTTTTTTATATAAATACAGCTTTTTTAAATATAAATACAACTCATATTTTCGAAAAAAAGACGGGCAACAGCCCAGTTTGTGTAACGTCACTGTAGCGTGGTCATATCTTGCTTCAGAGTGGACGAATGCTTAATCCAAGGACACCGTTTGCTTCAGCTCTGTGTGGCACATCTCTAAACATAGAAGTGGTAGCAGACCATCTCACGAAATTCCAAAATTTTTGCTTACGGTGGGTCGCTCCGTGAGTGCAATGAATAAGCACACTGAGTAACCTATCGTAGCAAAAAAAAACTGAAACAATTCGTAGATTCTATCTCCTACTGTGACAAGAGTAACTTCTATACAACAGAAGATGCGCCACGCCGAGATGGGTCGAATTAGAAACTCGTCCAGCCTAAGCCGAAATATGGCCACGCTACGGTGATGTCACATAAATCGGGGAACTGCGCGTATTCTTTTCACAAAAACGGGCAGTATTGTATTTGCCGGTCGTTGTTAGCCTAAAGTTTTGGTTTACTTCAAGGATGTTTTTCACGATTACGTATGAGAAGAGGTCTTTAAGACTGACGGTAAAATTCAGTTTTCATCGCTTTCGAATTTATTAGCTTGATTGAGTGACAATGGTCGACATCCGCTAAGCTATAGAAAATTACAACACACTGAATTACGATTGTGCTTTAGCACAAAAGAACTAGAGGTGTTATACTGATTTATAAAAGGGAAAGAGGTTTTGCTTTAGACAGGCTGATAGAGTTCAAAAAAAAACTCGTACTGGATATAATCGCACCAAAATCTGCTAATTCGTGGAATATCGTAGTTGAAATTTTGAAGATTCATCTCTATCTTTGAACTATTTCTACGCTCACACTCGTGACTAGGTTAGGAACATTAAATAGGTTCAAGAAAATCTCAATCTGAAAATTATTTGATACATTTTAAATATAGCAAAACTGTAAACAAGGAGAAGCTAAAAACTGCGAGCTAAACGTCAAAGTATCGCTTGGGATAGCACCAAGTCCATGGTACAACTATTTTCTATGGTGAGCGTTATGGACTTCTGTCTTCCTGTAGCTCTAGCAGGCAGAATACTTATTTTAGTAAAGATGAAATGAACTCAAAACCATACATTGGAAAGCAGAATCAGGGCTCAGCAGAGGTGGCGCTTTCACATGCTGTAAGTCGTTTCAGAGGGCAAAGCAAAGGGAATCCCGGAACTCTGACGGAAAATTAGCAACACAACTCCAACTCTTAGTAAGCCAAAATATAATCTCTAACATCATTTCACCAGTAACAGGGAAATTAACACAGAATTCCTACGCGAAGAAACCGAAAGGAAAGTACGGAAGTTATGAGAAAATTACGTGTACGAAAGGAGTAAGAGGTTTTCTATTTCAGGTTGCCCCGCGCAACCTGCACCCCTAGGGTTACGCGAGATTCTTCCTCACAAATTCTCGAAATTCTTCACATGAAGTTCCAGGTCATCTTAACCCAAATTTCGTCCCATCTGCTACGGCTCTTGATGGTATGATATAATAGCCGCCTTTTCTTTTCTTTGCCTGAATGTATCGTGGGGACCCTAAGCAGAAGGTTATTTTCGGCAATCCCAAAGGGGACTCGTTTTTAAATTTCTTAAATGCAGCCTCGTGCTGGGCTCCTGAGCAGAATACAAGAGCTCGTGCTGGGCTCCTGAGCAAAATACAAGAGCAAGAAATAAGAGTAAGCAACAGCACTAAAGAAGAATATCTACCGCTGACGGAATTTGTCTTTGCTTAGTCTAAGTTATAATGTCTCCTCAATGTAGAATTTGCGAATTGGGATCAGTCAAGGCTCAGAACGAGCGTAGCAAAATCTGATTTTAGGACTGTACAATTTAATCCAAAATCTGATTGAGTCGGCTGTACTTTGTTCTGCCACAAAGCATCGACTCCATTTATGAGGACCACTTCATTTTTGAGTAAAGCGGAAATTTGTGACCATTTTTTCCAGAGAATTTTTAAATAGGGCTTTCATACGCGTTTATTTCTTCAGTCTTAAAACTTTTTTGATCACATTTTTTAATTTCTACAGTGACAATAGAAAATGGAAAAACGAAGTACGAGTGTTACAACTAGATGTTCACTAACAAAATTTCTTGGGAAAATCGTAAACGTGCCCAAAAATGTTTCGACAACTTGTAGTTGCAGCACATTAATTTCAATGTTTTTCACCTGTGGTTACTAACAACCATAGATGCAATGAGGGGGGCTGGGTCTCTTCCAGGTGAAGGGGATTTGGGCTATCCTCGTCCTTGAAAGATGAAGGAGGGGCTTTGGAACATAGATAGATAGTTGGTAGTGGTTAATTCTTCATTGGCCAGAAATTTATTGTTAATGCACATAATTCCAGGGAAATTGGAACTCGTTAGAAGGTGCTAAAAAAATCGACGGTCTATGTGACTTCCCGTCTCCTAAACTTTTCAGTGATTTATAGTTTGCCGGACGAAAAAAGATTGCCAACTTTGAAACAGGAGGGAAATTAAATACTAACTTGCTCTACCCCGTTCCTTCTCAGTGTTCGCCTTCCTGGGTCACCCTAGTAAAAACTTTGCAGCCGAGCAAAATTCTCTTACAAGCATACAAACCCTTCGCAAGCTGAGGTCACGGAGAATCGAAATAGACCGATTTTTTATCTTTTCTTACGAGTGTAGGATACTTTATGAACGTTGTCTTCGAAATAAAACGTAGACCATTAAACGCATGTAGAGTCGCTAATTCCAAATCTGCCTTCGATATCTGCTGTGCGCTCTTCCGAAAGAAGTTATGAACACTTCTTTCCACTAATGCACTGTTTTGATGAAAGATCACCAATATCGTTGAAATAGTTACTTACGTACTGCAAAAGAGCGCCCAAATAAATTAAAGCTTTACGCTGAGTTTAGGAAAACCGTCTTCGATATATGCGAGTGTAGAAAGCTTGAATACTAACGCTTCTAACTGCCTAGATATCTTGATATCAATACGGAGAAAAAACATAATTTTATTCAAAGAGTCGTACAGCAGCTAGTGAACATAGATTTGGAATCAGCTTTCTGAGGCGCATTTACTGGTCTACATCAACATCTTCTAAATTTAGGCCTATCCTCTTCGCTTCTACCCTCAAACAATGTCCAGCCCAGAGGTGCGATAATGGGAGCCGATTCCCCCCCCCCTTCACTTTTGAGCTGGTGCAGGGTGACCACCTTCACTTTTGGAATAAAATATTTTTTCGCTGGACGATAAAGAAGGAAAATAAGCAAAACAAATGCAAAAGGGATCATTGAAGGCATATTTTTATGTATGCAGCGTCGTAATGATCTAAAATAAACGTGCATATCAAATAGTGTATTTGGAAGTAGAACTCAGCGGGACTGTACGTTATTAATTAAACTTTGCTATAATGTACAGCGAGAAAGTAGATCGATCCAGGCAGTAACGGCAGAGAACCAGAATTTTGAATAATTAAATAGCGAAAAATCATGCGAAATTTCCACTGTTATAAATCTGTCGTTTGAAGATGTCAGCAGTTGCGAATTTACAGGTTTTGAAGAGTAAGGTTTGCCTTATTAGAATATATCTTAGCCATACCAATCCGTTGAAACAGCGAAGAAATCCAGAGTCTTGAAGAAGCAGGTAAAAAAGCGCTTTTCAAAATTTAATAGCTCATGAGTTCTTCAGAACTGCATGAATCATGTTGAGACTTCGCAAGTTAGATTCTTCTCATCAAGAGTTTTTAGACGATTTATAAGTTGTGGCATTCGGTGCCCTCTGTGACTTATGCCCGAGGGGGAGACTTTTCATCACTACTCCTCCCCCTCGCCCACTTTAATGTATTGGAGGGAGGCCGCCAGGAGAGACTTTGTGATGAAAAGTCTCCCCTCCCGGGCATAAATCGTAGGAGACCATAAACCCCTACACATTATGTACCATCAGAAAGCTCTTGATGAGAAGAATCTAACCTACGAAGTTTTCAAAAAGCGCTTTTCACCTGCTTCTTCAAGATTCTGGATCTCGGCGTTTTTAAAAGGATTGGTATGGCTAAGACATATTCTGATGAGGCAAACCTTACTCTACAAAACCTATGAAGTGCAACATCACGTACTCTCACATTCAAGATCCAAAAATGGCGTAAATATTTATTCTGGTGTTCGACGACTATCAATCAAATCGGCTCGCTTCTTTCACTATCTGATAGAGCACCATTTACTCTTCAAAAGTAGCAACTGCTGACACCTTCAAACGACAAATTTATAACAGTGGAAATTTCGCATGATTTTTCACTATTTAATTATTCAAAATTCTGGTTCTCTGCCGTTACTGCCTGGATCGATCTACTTTCTCGCTGTATATTATAACAAAATTTGATAAATAAAATACATACAGTTCCGCTGAGTTTTACTTCCAAATACACTATTTGATAAGCACGTTTATTAAAGATATTTATGACGCTATATACAAAAAAATGCTTCCAATGATCCCTTTTGCATTTGTTTTGCTTATTTTCCGCGCACTGGCAGCAACGACCTGGAGGATAGACGTTAATGTTCTGCTCCCCCCCCCCCCCCCTTTCCCCCCTCCCTCTCCCCTCGGTCGACGTTTTTGGGAGGTGAGTGTCCGGTACTACCACGTTCACTTTTGGTGGGCCCGGCTCCCCCCATCGCACCCCTGGTCCAGCCTGTCACGTAAGCCAACTGTGACAAGCCTGCGCAGTGTGTTCATTTTCTCATCACTGTTTGTATCAAGGCGTTGTGCGTACAAACGTTTATACGGTTTAACTGAATTACGACAATAATTTTTGGATCCTTGGGTTTAATGGGTCCTTGCAGAGTGTTACACACGTGTCCTCCGACATGACCTGTTGCTTTCTACAGGGCGGACGGCAGGCCTAGAATATTGTTATCAGTACTATTTTCACCAAGCTGCTCACTGCTTACTTTTTCCATAGCTGCCTCACGGCATTTGGGGTCAGTTGATGGGCATGACCTGCCATGACACAAGTACACCAGAAGAGCAACAAAGTTTACGTTGATGAACCGCATGTCGGATTCTAGAAGATGCGCAATATTCTTAGGTTAATGAAAGCTAGCTGGAAGACGATGTAACGGAAAACCAGAACTAGTTCTCAAAAACATTGAGAAATGATGAAGGAGGGGGGAGTGGATAATTTGTGATGTTAAGGAGTTGTATAACGTGGGACATTCTAAGAAAATTCTAGATGTTTTTATGTCAGCAAGAATTCTGGCCAAAAATTTGTGCTCCAGAACGTGTTATAATGCTAGCTGAAATAAGGGGAGCAAAACCGTTAAGGACGGAAAAAACTGATTGCGCTTAACACATTCACACTTATATTTGTTTTGCATCGGTTTTATTTGATATCGGAAAATTATTAGGAAAAATCGGAGTGTCGTTAAGCGGCCTGGCATACAAATCAGGTGGAACAAATTGCTGTCAAAAGTATACATACAGCGCGAACAAATTGCACTTTGAACGGCCATTAAGCATTTTCCCTGAAACGGTTTAAATCACGCACAAGAATTTTTGAAAACTTTTGACAGTGTTTGCCTGATGCAAAAATGCTACATCATAGTACCGCTGATCAGAAGCTGTAAGTACTATCGATATTGTGAGGATCTCGGGTATGTTACACTTGTACAACGAAAAATCTTCTCACTTTTGTTCGCTTTGCTGGTATTTTGTGTCAGAATGCGTCAGAAACCCCTATCTGGTTCTATCAACTTTTTTCTTTATTTTTCTCCATTTCTGAGTTTGGCAAATAGTCAAGGACTTTACAATGAAATTAAGTAGGTAATAACTCTTTTTTTAAGACTACCTTACTTCGCCACCCAAAGGTGGGGGTGCTTTATGTGTTCGATAATAAAGGATGTTACTCTTACGATAAATGTTGATTTTCGAAACTGTTGATATTAATGTCATTAATGGCAAAGAAAACAGAGGGAACTTATATTGGTGGGTAGGCTAAACAAGCTCTTGCTAAAACTTCTTGAACAGGTAGAGAATATGTCAAAATTTTCATACGTGACAAAAGGTTGACAAATCTTCCTGCGAAGTTATGACCGTATTTGGTAAAAGAAAAAAAGCATTATCCTTCTTTTTAAAATATTTTCGGATACGAAAAAGTACCAGAAAATCTTAATCTTGAAAAGAGAAAGTGAAAAGAAGGAATTTGGCTTCAAAATTTTTATTAAGATCTTATAGATTACTTTTTGAAATGTTCATACCCGGCTCCGGTAAATCAACATTTCTTGATTTGCGGCAGTGGTTTTTTTGTCCCAAGCTTTTGCCAACTTCCTTTTGGATTATCAAGGTACGTGACTTGAAAAGCAAACTTTTCGTTCTCAGATAAGCCAGAAAGAGAGTACGTGGGATCAAGATTGAGGAATTCGAAAGGCTAAATATTATTTTTTTAACTGTTTGGAAGATGGAAGAATTTTTGAATGTTCATTTCTGGCTCATAACTTCTGTGACTTTCATATTATTCCCATGTTGTATTGGTTGGAAGATGAATCCCACACTAATGCATTATCTCTTTCTTGCGGTGAGCTGGGCCGTTTGCAAAAAAATCCAAACAAACCTTAGAGCGTTTGCTTTGAGCTAAAAAAGTTACCACAACTCAAAAGAGAAAGAAACACAATGGACAAGCAAATTGTGGGATGACAGCTATCATTGAAACATGGCACAAAATAGACTAAAAATGGATTTTTTGATTTTCCGTCGCCAAGTGGACCACATTTGGACAGATAAAGTTCAGCCTTCAAACTTGCCCGGTTAACCCTGCAGATTTTCTCTTTGATCTATGTGTGAGCAAGAATTACTAGCAAGAAATACTTGCTCTTACGAATTTAAAAAAGACTCACAAGAAAGAGACCCTGTTGAGAGCTTCAGTCGAAATTCCGCAAAAAGCTTTACGCGCATTGCAGGAACTTTTTACAAAGAGAATAAATCTTTTACCAGAGAACAGAGGCGGCATCACAAAGGTAGCCTATGAGATTCTATACTAAAATTTTTTTACTATCAGTTGAATGCAAACATGTTGTAGTTTCAAGCAGGTTTAGCAATGTTGGATGAGCAATGGAAATTTTTCTGCGTCACACCTTAGATCACCCTGTTGGTAGCTATATAGGCAATATCGTGAGACAGTGCAAACGGAAAGATGATTCCATTACTTACTGTTTAGCTTTGCATTACACAGTATCTGCAATATCTGCTTTTGTATGTAAGTGTATCTCCTAGTAGTTGTTTTACACCGCAACAAAACGGCATAAGTAGAGGTAACAGGTGTTCATAAATCCAACTACAACTTGCTACTTCTGGGACCAAGCATGTTTTTCATTTTTGATACATGCTCACATGTTCTTTTCAATCTAGCATGTCCCACCTCTTCGAAGTAGGTCGCGAAGATCTCCAGAAGCTTGCCTGTAAGCGTAGTAAGATTGTTCATTTGACTGTTTTCAACGCATTAATTAAGAAATATCATACGGTAAAGCGGAAAACTTGTAAAGCATCCCAAATTTTTTTGGAAGTTGTGGCTAAGGGCACTCCTTCATCCAAATTTTTTGCGCCCCTCCTTCTCCCCAAGCGAAATTCTGTACCCGCCACTGGCAAATCGGTAGCTAGATCACGGGTAAGCAGATACAGAAGGCCAGAAATCAAAATGTAGAGCTCCTGTGTGCATTGAAAACATTTTAATGATGGTCTGGCAACTATTTTTTTCACCGCGCTCTACATTACAGGATGACTTGTTTGGCTAATTCTATTATAGATTGTGCTTCTTTAGCTATAAACAAAATTCAATAGCAGGTGCATGATAAAACTTCGTAAGCAACGGAAACGTTAACACAGAGGTTCTTGTGCGCTTATAGGGGCTATAATCGGCAGGTCGGCTGAGAGGAGAGAATCGCACACTGTGAACTCATGCGCATTATTCATGTGCCTTAGAATGTTTGATAAAAAGGCAATGGACTACTTTAATCTTTCGAGATTTCAAAAAGCTCAGCATTCCTCTCAAGAATCTGTTACTTCACAATAGCTCAGTGTTATTCGCACGACTCTATTTTTTCACATTAACCCGCAAGGAAGGTACCTAACTCACAAGGAAATGGTCAGAAATCGAAGTAGCCAATCCATACAAGTTGCATTCCATTAGATGCAGCATAAAACGCTGACTCTAAATCTGTCTTCCCTATCTGCAGAGCGCTTTTGTGGACGAAATTATAAGCCGTTGAGCCATTATTTTGCTAAGAAATAATGCGTGTAAAGTGCAAACTTGGCCGTACAAGACCATTCTCGATTCAGTGTTGGACCAAAACATGCAACTAGGTCACTTCATATGATCCGCTCCTAGAGGTGAGTTGAAAGAGCAATAATGTTCCTAATTCCGCAATTTTTGTATACGTGTTTTTCGCAGTAAAGCTGCTCATAACTTCACCTACAAAGGCGCTCTGCAGATATGGAAGACAGATTTGCAATCAGCATTTTATGCTGCATCGAATGGTATGCAATTTGCATGGATTGGCCACTTCGACTTCTGACCATTCCCTTGTAAGCTTGATCTTGTGAAAAGAGATTTTTACATTCTGAACCAGTTCCAAATGCTGATCCCAAACATGCCATTTCTAGTTGCGGCGCTTCTTTATATGTTAACATTACAGCATCATCATCTAAATACTAATACACTTGCATTAAGCTTCTTTTCAGTGAGAAAAGACTTGATTTAATGTGATTCGATATCGCCTCACTTTATTCTTGCAGATTTCTACCTGCAGTCTTCCCATGTTCAGTAGTATGCCCATTTTGAGCAGTGAAAAGTACACAACTCACTTCATAAAGGTACGCCGCAGCTAGGATTAGCATACTTGGAATAAGCGTTCAACATTAATTCAGAATATTTGCCCTTTGCCAAGAGTCAGAACTAAGTTAGGCAGCTTTGTATTCTTCCTATGACCAAGTTAAAAGTGGCCAACCTCGCTTAGTTAAACTCCGAAAACTGGAGATTATCCTTTTCAATCAAGCTAGAAACGCAACTAGCTGCACAAGGCCAAAGATAAATAAATGACAGTTACTCGGTGATGTCAACCCTGTCAAAGATTTGCATTCTAGAATAGCACAATTAATCTTTTTGCAGACGAGTGTATGATATTTCTAGACCTTATGCGAGACCAAAATAGTTGTCTTGAACTGCTTTGACGCAAGGAAATATCGCACTCGAAACCTAAAAGCCGGACATACTTCACGCGATCTTAGTCGCGACGCGATTTGGCAGTTCCCAGAAGTTTTCGGATTCAATAACAAACGGCATAGTGAAGATAACTTACTTGGATTGCTAAAATGTCCCCATCTTCTGCACTTTTAGAATGTGCCTACAATAAGTAATGCACAAGTGGAATATTGCCACACCGCGTCGCGACTGAAATCACGTGAAATATGCCCGGCTCTTTAGTCAACTGTGCAAGTGACTCACGACTTTAGTACTAATCGTACGGTGTTCACCGAAGAAGCACGGAACGGTATAAACAAGAGTTTGCCAAGATCACTAATGATATTATTAATATTATAGGTATTAGGTAATAATATTAATAATATCACTAACGATATTATTAATATAATAGGTATTCAGACCCACATACGGAAGGATCAGTTGTTTTTCTATTTATCATCAGCGAATCGGTGGGCGAAAGAAATCAACGTTATCAAACTACGAGTTTTTCCAACGTGTGATAAACCTGATACAAAAACTACCTAATGAAGTTCTATCATGCACTAATAGCAGCTCTTTCAAAAATAAACTAAAAACACTAAGATTAAATGAAATCTTTACAGATAGTGCTAGTCCGACATCTGTTTTTCCATGATCAGGTGGCCATGTGCGATTGACGTGCGATTGAATTTTTGAATCGACTTCAAATCAAGACCAAATACGGCCATTGATACTTGTCTTTCTACCAATACTATTTGCTTTCTACATTTCTTACTAATCCATATCATGTCATCATGTTAGTGCAGGTCTGAACAACGATTGCTTCCTTTCAAT